TCACATAGTAAGAGTATACACAGGCACAACCCTATTCAGTGTAGTAGACCTAGTCAGATTAATGCCGGTGTGTCTCGCCTCAAGCGATGAAACTAATGTGTGTGTGTGTGACTGTCTGTTTCTCACATTTTGAGACTGAATAGATGTCTCATCGAGAGAGAGAGAGAGAGAGAGAGAGAGAGAGAGAGAGAGAGAGAGAGAGAGAGAGAGAGAGAGAGAGAGAGAGAGAGAGAGAGAGAGAGAGAGAGAGAGAGAGAGAGAGAGAGGACACTGTACTCTACACTATGAGCTGTTGGGAGGCCCTCTGTCCTCTCCTCTACTCTGATGTGCTGTTGATGTGTTACCATGGTGAGGCCTACCTGAGCCTGTGTGTTCAGTGGATGGGAGGTAAACTGGTCTGGTGTGGATGACCTTACCTAATGGCCCTGCCTCTCTCTTAGCAGTATCCATCCCTCACGTACCCAACTTGGCTGAGCAAATAAAAGCCTTCCGCTCTCTCCTCTCCTCAGGCCCTCTCCCATTTCACATGGAGGGGTCAGAGCCCTACACAGACACAGTGCACACCGAGACACTGCTCTGCTGGAGCAGCTTACAGTCTAGAACTTCAACTGATAATTTTGTCCTTTTTTATTAAAGTATATTATGGCTTGCAGTAAGCTAGTTGATTTACACACTTGTTGGCTCTGGCGCCTGTGTTCGGTTCACAATAACTTACCCTAAAGTTCAGGTCCATGTTAAGAGTGGCCATATTTACACACATGCTGGTTTCAAATCAAAGTCAGTGCCCAGAGTGATAAAAACAGGCCCAGAATAGTCATTGCCTCCAAATTGCTGCTATAGGTGCTTCTATACTTCTCCACTTTCTCAGTGGTCTTATGAAAATACTCTCTTAAGCCTTCTCTGGGAAATAATATGGTCTGTTCCTCTTCAGGAAATGCTAACACACCAGCTGTAATATTCAATGGTATTTTTTGTGTTGTAATAAATAAATAAATATCGCTTTGGTGCAGTTTTCACAAGTATGTTATACTGTAATGTACACTATTATGATGATGACTATTATGATTTTACTTGACAATATTTTAAAAAATCTGATATTGACAAGATCAGATATATAGTGTATGTAACGAATGCATCTCCAGTACAGTAGACATGTATCCCCTGTATGGGGGGGGGGGGGGGGGGGGGGGGGGGGGGTTACACTGCTTTACTACTGTAAAATTGCATTGGCCAATACAGTACTGTAATACATGCCATTTACGTAGCAGACACTTTTATCCAAAGTGACAACAGTGAGTCCATACTTTTTCATATGTGACCCCGGTGGGAATCGAACCCACAACTCTAGTGCCATACTCTTACTAACTTAGCCACATAGGACCAATAGAACACAAGTACAATACAATACTGTAAAATACAATACATGATTACAATACAGGTGGAAGGTGTAATGTGTATGATTGGGAGACAGGTAGCCTAGCGGTTAGAGCATTGGGCCAGTAACCGAAAAGTCCCTGGTTCAAATACCCAAAGTGAAAAATCGGTCAATGTGCCCTTGAGCAAGGCACTTAATTATAATTTGCTCCAGTGCATACCACTATGGCTGACCTTGTCAAACAATACATTTCACTGCACCTATCCAGTGTATGTGACAATAAAAAATGACATGTTTATTTTTTATAAAAAAACAAATGCCACACTCCTTCAGGCCATGGATGAAGCATGCAATGACATCAATACAACGAATGTCAGGCTTGGATTCGCCATGCCAAAAGGTTTTTCCCAAGGTGCATGAACAATGAGGACATTAAGTGCTTTACTGCGATGTCGGTGAGAACCTATGACCAAATGCTCAAGACAGGATTTGTGCATCAATGAATGTGAATGATCACACATGGGATAGAAATTATGGAAATTAGATTTTCTATTTTATTAACGTGTGTTTCCTAATGTGAAAATAGTGCAATGTAGTGTAGCATATTATATTCAAAGGCCAATTTTGAAACAGATATCTTGCATTTTTTGCTATTAAATTAACTGGTTGTTAAAACAGCTAATCAGTTCAGTTGCACTAATTAATTGAAATATCGGTGTGTCATGAACCAAATATTGAAACATGAAGAAGCTCACATATACATGGTGTGTCTGCCTCTGGTGCCATAAAAGTCCTGCCTAGGAGATCATTAACTTTGTATTTTTTAGTGCTTCTATTTATGAATGTAATTATGAGTTTCCATAATGTGAGTTTACATGTTTTTTTTTGCTTGCTGATGGAAGGAGGTTTTCACTCAAAATCTCACGATACATGGCCCCATTCATTCTTTCCTTTACACAGATCAATCGTCCTGGTCCCTTTGCAGAAAAACAGCCCCAAAGCATGATGTTTCCACCCCCATGCTTCACAGTAGGTATGGTGTTCTTTGGATGCAACTCAGCATTCTTTGTCCTCCAAACACGACGAGTTGAGTTTTTACCAAAAAGTTCTATTTTGGTTTCATTTGACCATATGACATTCTCCCAATCCTCTTCTGGATCATCCAAATGCACTCTAGCAAACTTCAGACGGGCCTGGACATGTACTGGCTTAAGCAGGGGGACACGTCTGGCACTGCAGGATTTGAGTCCCTGGCGGCGTAGTGTGTTACTGATGGTAGGCTTTGTTACTTTGGTCCCAGCTCTCTGCAGGTCATTCACTAGGTCCCCCCGTGTGGTTCTGGGATTTTTGCTCACCGTTTTTGTGATCATTTTGACCCCACAGGGTGAGATCTTGCGTGGAGCCCCTGATCGAGGGAGATTATCAGTGGTCTTGTATGTCTTCCATTTCCTAATAATTGCTCCCACAGTTGATTTCTTCAAACCAAGCTGCTTACCTATTGCAGATTCAGTCTTCCCAGCCTGGTGCAGGTCTACAATTTTGTTTCTGGTGTCCTTTGACAGCTCTTTGGTCTTGGCCATAGTGGAGTTTGGAGTGTGACTGTTTGAGGTTGTGGACAGGTGTCTTTTATACTGATAACAAGTTCAAACAGGTGCCATTAATACAGGTAATGAGTGGAGGACAGAGGAGCCTCTTAAAGAAGAAGTTACAGGTCTGTGAAAGCCAGAAATCTTGCTTGTTTGTAGGTGACCAAATACTTATTTTCCACCATAATTTGCAAATAAATTCATAAAAAATCCTACAATGTGATTTTCTGGATTTTTTTTCTTCTCAATTTGTCTGTCATAGTTGACGTGTACCTATGATGAAAATTACAGGCCTCTCTCATCTTTTTAAGTGGGAGAACTTGCACAATTGGTGGCTGACTAAATACTTTTTTTCCCCCACTGTATGTAAGCTTGTGAAACACATTTACAGTGTCTTCAGAAAGTATTGTATTGAAATGTATTGAAAATGAAATACAGAAATATCTCATTTACATAAGTATTCACACCCCTGAGTCAATACATGTTAGAATCACCTTTGGCAGCGATTACAGGTGTGAGTATTTCTGGATAAGTCTCTAAGAGCTTTGCACACCTGGATTGTACAATATTTTGAAAATTCTTCAAGCTCTGTGAAGTTGGTTGTTGATCATTGCAAGACAGCCATTTTCAAGTCTTGCCATAGATTCTCAAGCCAATTTAGGTCAAAACTGTAACTAGGCCACTCCGGAACATTCAATGTCGTCTTGGTAAACAATTCCAGTGTATATTTGGCCTTGTGTTTTCGGTTATTGTCCTGCAGAAAGGTGAATTTGCCTCCCAGTGTCTGTTGGAAAGCCTACTGAACCAGGTTGTCCTCTAGGAAGTTGCCAGTGCTTAGCTCTATTATGTTTCTTTTTATCCTAAATAACTCCATAGTCTTTCCTGATAACAAGCATATCCATAACATGATGCAGCCACCACCATGCTTGAAAATATGAAGAGTGGTACTCAGTGACAGTGACAAACATAACACTTTGTATTCAGGACATAAAGTTAATTTCTTTGCCACATTTTTTGCAGTTTTACTTTATTGCCATATTGCAAACAGGATGCATGTTTTGGAATATTTGTATTATGTTCAGGCTTCTTTCTTTTCACTCTGTCATTTAGGTTAGTATTGTGGGGTAACTACAATGTTGTTGATCCATCCTCGGTTTTCTCCTATCACAACCATTCAACTCTGTAACTGTTTTAAAGTCACCATTGGCCTTATGGTGAAATCCCTGAGCGGTTTCTTTCCTCTCCGGCCACTGAGTTATGATTGTTAGTATTGATACACCATCCAAGCCTAATTAATAACTTCACCATGCTCAAAGGGATATTTAGATATCTTTGAATATACTGTATTTTGTATATAGTCAATTGTTTGCCTCCTGGTTGTCAGGAGAGAGAGAGAGAGAGAGAGAGAGAGAGATGTGGTTATATCGTTTAGGGCACAACAGCGTGATAGTGCTGGGGTTGGTTTCCATGTGAGGTGTTGCGTATCCATGCAGATGTGTGTGTAAGAGGAAGGGAGTAGAGGAGGATTGTGGTTAATCATTTGTATAGCTGGAGAGTAGAGATGGAGAGAGCTGCCGCTCTGCTGCTTTACACCTGATTAATGTTGCACCTCTCTGACTCTGAGAGGAGTTGCCAGGAAATGGCTCGGCCAGGGAGAGCTGAGAGGGGATGCACGGGAGAGGAAATGAGATGGCCTAGCCTTGTCCCTGGGAAAGGAGGGGGATGGGAAGACCCTCACAGGACAGACATGGTGGGAGGGATGACACTGAAAGACAGGTTCTACCCCTATGTCACAAGGAGGCTAACCTTCACCAGGTAGTGTAGGTAAAAGGTAATTTGTTGCTCAAGAAACCACAGATCAACTCTGGGATAGGAGGGTTTAGACTAGAGGGTCAATAAAACCATCTCTTACCCCCCACTCGTAACTTGAGCTATGAAATTCACCTTCAGAAATGAGCATGGGATTCATATTGGAATATTCGCATGCCATTTTATAAGAATGAATGATGGAATCAAAAGTCATTGTTGAATAGTAAAGGATGGAGGTGTGTTCAGGTGTTAAATAGTTACTTTGTCACTTTGTGTAAATAGTCAACACCCATAGTCAATACCAATGCAGGGCATTGTGTTACAAGCTGAGGCATGCCTCACTGCCTATTTGTTTTAATTGTACAAACTCTTCACATCACATATCACCAAGTGTCACGCGGCGTGTATGCGGTAGCGAAGTCAAAAGCAGGACACAGAGCGGCTGGCAACGTGTTTTACTGAACACAGTAAAATCAACGTACAAAAAACAACAAACCTCCAAACAGGGAGGAAAGCACAAAGACCCGTACATACAAGAACTGCCGGAATGACAACAAACAATAACACACAAAGTACCAATGAGAGACAGGGGTTAATATAGGGAATATAATCAAACCATATGAACTGAAGAGAATGTGCAATATGATATAATCAGGGCTGTGTCCATGTTGCATACTGCCCATTCTTCAGAGCAAATGGCAAAGGCAGATCTAAATGCTCTATGCCTCTGACTCATACAGTCAATAAATAGGAGAATGTACCGTGCCTGTTTGTGAGTGAATACAGATAACACCTGATCATCATGAGTGTAATGGTGGACACTGGACATCATACTCAGTCCATACAGGTGGCAACACTGATACTAGTAGTTGGCAACGCTGATACTGTAATGTCATTAAATAATCTGGAGTATAGCCATGGGGATGTGCAGAAACAAATACCTGTCATGATTAGCCACACACACATCTAAACCAAATTGTATGTCCACATGGTAATTTGCCTTAGTTTCAAGTTTTAATGTCACATGCACAAGTAAAGTGAAATGCCTTTCTTGCAAGCTCTAAACCCAACAATGCAGTAATCAATATCAATGTAGTACAAAAAAGAACATAAGGTAGAACAAAAACACACAAGAAATGAAAATAAGAAATAAGAAGAACACAAGAAAGTAAGTAAGCATACTATATATACGGTCAGTCCATTCCAGTACCATATTCACAATCTGCAGGGATACTGGAGTGATAGAGGTATGTATAGGGGTAGGGTGACTAAGCATCAGGATATATGATAAACAGAGTAGCAGCTAGGGCTGTTATGGTGACCATATTACCGCCACACTGTCAGTCACAAGTCATGAAGGCAGTCAAATTATGTTTAGTCACGGTGGGCTTCCCCAAGCTCTGATGCTGCCGATGGTCATTAGTAGCTTACCAAACTTGCTAACTGCCTGGTACTCAGCACTCTCTTGTCCATCTAATCACTCTAACATCAATGCAAATGTAATCGAAAATCTAATCAAACACTTAATGAGAGCCCATGAGCTCATGTTGCACAACATTTCTATAGGCTATTTAATTGCGTGAGAAAACAGAGTGATGGCCTCTATTAAAAAGAGGAGGATCCCATCAGCCTCGACCAGCACCAGCTTGCCCAGTTGAACGCCGCCATGACGGAAGTGCTCCAAACTCTGCATAATCTGCCCAGTGCTCCGGTTCCACCTCAGTGAACGGCGAGTGCACCCAGTCCACCTGTTCCCATGCTATCACCAACTTCTGAGGGACCCCTCGCCCTTTTGGAGCGCTATGACGGTAAAACTGCTTAATGTAGCGGCTTCCTGCTACAGGTTTCACTTTATCTGGCGCGTCAGCCTGGGGCATATACATCTGACCAAGCCAGGATAGTGCTGGTGGTTTCGCTACTTAAAGGAAAGGCGCTGGATTGGGCCACGGCAGTCTGGGAAGGAGGTGAGGCCGCAGCGCTTCCCTACTCCACCTTCCTCGCTCGGTTCAGGGTGGTGTTTGATCATCCCATGGAGGGAAAGGACGGGGGTGAGCGTCTCCTCCAGCTACAACAGGGAGAGGGGCCCGCGTCCGAGTACGCTCTGAGCTTTCGCACGGTGGCGGCGTCTTCTGTCTGGAATGAGCATGCTCTGCGCACGGCCTTCAGGAGAGGCTTATGGGAGGACATCAAGATGGAACTCGCATGTCGGGAAGATGAGATGGACCTTGATACCCTCATCACCACGTCCATCCGTCTTGACGACATGTTGAGAGACAGACGGCGTTCCCAAAACCTCCTGGAGCCTTGTCGCTCATCCCATCTGAGTTGGGCAGCACCCCCTACACCACCACGGACCACAGATCTCCTGACGGCTCCCAATCTAGGCGGTATGACTCCCGTCAACGCTCCGTGAGCGTTACGTCATCTCCTATCACCAAACCATTGTTTTTAGTTCCCATAACGGTGACTGGTTATTCCTTCTCTTCCATTTCCACTGCAATGATAGATTCCGGATCAGCGGGGAACCTTATAGATAGGGAGAAACAGGGGTTCATCAGACGCTCTACCTCTCCTACCTCCGCCAGCTTCATCTTCGTGGCCAAAAAAGACGGAGGACTGAGGCCGTGCATTGACTACAGGGGGCTGAACGCAGTCACCACCAAGTACCGGTACTCCCTCCCTCTGGTTCCGTCGGCCATCGAGCAGCTACGAGGGGCCCGGTACTTTACCAAGTTGGACCTGAGGAATGCCTACAACCTGATCCGAATCCGGGAAGGAGACGAGTGGAAGACGGCATTCAGCACTACCTCAGGCCACTATGAATACTGTGTCATGCCATACGGCCTCGCCAACGCACCTTCTGTGTTCCAGTCCTTCGTCAATGACATGCTCCAAGACATGCTGAGTAGACAGGTGGTGGTGTACATTGACGATATCCTGATCTACTCAGCTACATTCAAGGAGCACGTCAGGGACGTCAGAGCTGTCCTACTCCGCCTCCGGGAACACAGCCTATTGGTGAAGGGGGAGAAATGCGAATTCCACCAACAGGCCATCTCCTTCCTGGGATACAGGATCAGTCCTTAGGGGGTGTTCATGGAAAGAGAGAAGACGGACGTCGTCAGGTCATGGCCGGGCCCCACCACCATGAAGGGCCTACAATTTCTACCGGCATTTCATCAGGTCCTTCAGCTCCATAGCCACCCCCCTCACCTCTCTCCTTAAGAGTGGACCTCAGAAGCTGGCCTGGAACCCTGAGGCTGACGCTGCCTTCAAGAGGCTGAAGGAGAGGTTCACCACAGCGCCCATCCTAAAACACCCAGATTCATCTTGTCCTTTCATCCTGGAGGTGGACGCATCTGAGGAGGGCGTGGGTGCGGTCCTCTCCCAGCGGCAAGGTAAGCCAGAGAAAATGTATCCCTGTGCCTTTTTCTCTAAAAAGCTTACCCCCACATTGAGGAACTATGGAGTTGGAGACAGGGAGCTGTTGGTGGTGGTCCTCCCTCTGGAGGAATGGAGACACTGTCTGGAGAGCGGAGTCCATCCATTCCAGATTCTTACTGACCACCGGAATTTGGAGCACATACGGGCAGTGAAACGGATGAACTCTCGTCAAGCCAGGTGGGCCCAATTTCTTACTCGCTTTCAGTTCATTCTGTCCTACCGCCCAGGATCCCAGAATGTGAAAGCCGACGCACTCTCCAGGATGCACCATACCGGAGAAAGGAAGGATCTGGTGGGTCCTATCCTGCCCCTGTCTCTCATCGTTGCACCTGTCGTTTGGGATGTGGACGATGACATCCGCCTGGTGGCTCAGGAGGACCCAGCGCCTGCTAATACCCCTCCGGCCCGCTCCTCGTCCTCGGGGTCATCCTCATGGCTAGTGATGTCTTGCAGCAGGAGCTGCGCATCTGGGGGGGGGGGTATTGTCCCGTCTCCTCCCGTTGCTCCCCTCCGGCGCTCTGATTCGCCGGTCTACTGAGCCACCGGTCTGAGCGCACCACCTCAGCACCACAGGAATGGAAACCCAACGCAAAGTAATCACCTCCAGCGCACCTGCACCTCATCATCTCATCACCACCACTATATAGCCCTGGACTGTTCAGTCATTGTTGTGTGTAATTGTTAGCGTCGTGTCATTTACTCGCTCCTTGTTATTTTCTTTCTCATTGTTAAGTAAACCTTTACCTTGTTGATTCCTGCCTCTGCGTCCTGCCTCTTCGTATCCTCAGTACTCGTCACAGGAGGATGTCTTCCCTGTAACGCACAGCGTTGAGATTGCCTGCAATGACAACAAGCTCAGTCCGATGATGCTGTGATACACCGCCCCAGACCATGACGGACTCTCCACCTCCAAATCAATCCCACTCCAGAGTACAGGCCTCAGTGTATCGCTCATTCCTTCGTCGATAAACGCGAATCCGACCATCACCCCTGGTGAGACAAAACCGCGACTCGTCAGTGAAGAGCACTTTTTGCCAGTCCTGTCTTGTCCAGCGACGGTGGGTTTGTGCCCATAGGCGACGTTGTTGCCGGTGATGTCTGGTGAGGACCTGCCTTACAACAGGCCTACAACTGGCCTACAAGCCCTCAGCCTATTGAGGACAGTCTGAGCACTGATGGAGGGATTGTGCGTTCCTGGTGTAACTCAGGCAGTTGTTGTTGCCATCCTGTCCCGCAGGTGTGATGTTCGGATGTACCGATCCTGTGTAGGTGTTATTACACGTGGTCTGCCACTGCGAGGACGATCAACTGTCCGTCCTGTTTCCCTGTAGCGCTGTCTTAGGCATCTCACAGTACGGACATTGCAATTTATTGCCCTGGCCACATCTGCAGTCCTCATGCCTCCTTGCAGCATGCCTAAGGCACATTCACGCAGATGAGCAGGGACCCTGGGCATCTTTCTTTTGGTGTTTTTCAGAGTCAGTAGAAAGGCCTCTTTCATAACTGTGACCTTAATTGCCTACCGTCTGTAAGCTGTTAGTGTCTTAATGACCATTCCTCAGGTGCATGTTCATTAATTATTTATGGTTCATTGAACAAGCATGGGAAACTGTGTTTAAACCCTTTACAATGAAGAACTGTGAAGTTATTTGGATTTTTACAAATTATCTTTGAAAGACAGGGTCCTGAAAAAGGGACGTTTCTTTTTTTGCTGAGTTTATTATTTAGTATATGTAAAGACAAGATTAAATCAAGAATAGTCTTATGGGTGACAATAAATCAAATCAAATCAAATTTTATTGGTCACATGCGCCGAATACAACAGGTGCAGACATTACAGTGAAATGCTTACTTACAGCCCTTAACCAACAGTGCATTTATTTTAAACAAAAAAGTAAGAATAAAACAACAACAAAAAAGTGTTGAGAAAAAAAGAGCAGAAGTAAAAAATAAAGTGACAGTAGGGAGGCTATATATACAATAGAATAAAGTGACAGTAGGGAGGCTATATATACAGGGGGGTACCGTTGCATAGTCAATGTGCGGGGGCACCGGCTAGTTGAGGTAGTTGAGGTAATATGTACATGTGGGTAGAGTTAAAGTGACTATGCATAAATACTTAACAGAGTAGCAGCAGCGTAAAAAGGATGGGGTGGGGGGGCAGTGCAAATAGTCCGGGTAGCCATGATTAGCTGTTCAGGAGTCTTATGGCTTGGGGGTAGAAGCTGTTGAGAAGTCTTTTGGACCTAGACTTGGCACTCCGGTACCGCTTGCCGTGCGGTAGCAGAGAGAACAGTCTATGACTAGGGTGACTGGAGTCTTTGACAATTTTGAGGGCCTTCCTCTGACACCGCCTGGTATAGAGGTCCTGGATGGCAGGGAGCTTTGCCCCAGTGATGTACTGGGCCGTACGCACTACCCTCTGTAGTGCCTTGCGGTCAGAGGCCAAGCAGTTGCCATACCAGGCGGTGATGCAACCAGTCAGGATGCTCTCGATGGTGCAGCTGTAGAATTTTTTGAGGATCTGAGGACCCATGCCAAATCTTTTTAGTCTCCTGAGGGGGAATAGGCTTTGTCGTGCCCTCTTCACGACTGTCTTGGTGTGTTTGGACCATGATAGTTTGTTGGTGATGTGGACACCAAGGAACTTGAAGCTCTCAACCTGTTCCACTACAGCCCCGTCGATGAGAATGGGGGCGTGCTCAGTCCTCTTTTTTTTCCTGTAGTCCACAATCATCTCCTTTGTCTTGGTCACGTTGAGGGAGAGGTTGTTGTCCTGGCACCACACGGCCAGATCTCTGACCTCCTCCCTATAGGCTGTCTCATCGTTGTCGGTGATCAGGCCTACCACTGTTGTGTCGTCGGCAAACTTAATGATGGTGTTGGAGTCGTGCCTGGCCATGCAGTCATGGGTGAACAGAGAGTACAGGAGGGGACTGAGCACGCACCCCTGAGGGGCCCCCGTGTTGAGGATCAGTGTGGCAGATGTGTTGTTACCTACCCTTACCACCTGGGGGCGGCCCGTCAGGAAGTCCAGGATCCAGTTGCAGAGGGAGGTGTTTATTCCCAGGATCCTTAGCTTAGTGATGAGCTTTGAGGGCACTATGGTGTTGAATGCTGAGCTGTAGTCAATGAATAGCATTCTCACGTAGGTGTTCCTCTTGTCCAGGTGGGAAAGGGCAGTGTGGAGTGCGATAGAGATTGCATCATCTGTGGATCTGTTGGGGCGGTATGCAAATTGGAGTGGGTCTAGGGTTTCTGGGATTATGCTGTTGATGTGAGCCATGACCAGTCTTTCAAAGCACTTCATGGCTACAGACGTCAGTGCCACGGGTCGGTAGTCATTTAGGCAGGTTATCTTAGCGTTCTTGGGCACGGGGACTATGGTGGTCTGCTTGAAACATGTTGGTATTACAGACTCAGTCAGGGACATGTTGAAAATGTCAGTGAAGACACTTGCCAGTTGGTCAGCACATGCTCGGAGTACACGTCCTGGTAATCCGTCTGGCCCTGCGGCCTTGTGAATGTTGACCTGCTTAAAAGTCTTACTCACATCGGCTACGGAGAGCGTGATCACATAGTCGTCCGGAACAGCTGGTGCTCTCATGCATGCTTCAGTGTTGCTTGCCTCGAAGCGAGCATAGAAGTGGTTTAGCTCGTCTGGTAGGCTTGTGTCACTGGGCAGCTCGCGGCTGTGCTTCCCTTTGTAGTCTGTAATAGTTTTCAAGCCCTGCCACATCCGACGAGCGTCAGAGCCAGTGTAGTATGATTCAATCTTAGACCTGTATTGACTCTTTGCCTGTTTGATGGTTCGTCGGAGGTCATAGCGGGATTTCTTATAAGCGTCCGGGTTAGAGTCCCGTTCCTTGAAAGCGGCAGCTCTACCCTTTAGCTCAGTGCGGATGTTTCCTGTAATCCATGGCTTCTGGTTGGGGTATGTACGTACGGTCACTGTGGGGACGACATCATCGATGCACTTATTGATGAAGCCAGTGACTGATGTGGTGTACTCCTCAATGCTGTCTGAAGAATCCCGGAACATGTTCCAGTCTGTGCTAGCAAAACAGTCCTGTAGCTTAGCATCTGCGTCATCGGACCACTTTTTTATTAGCCGAATCACTGGTGCTTCCTGCTTCAGTTTTTGCTTATAAGCAGGAATCAGGAGGATAGAGTTATGGTCAGATTTGCCAAATGGAGGGCGAGGGAGAGCTTTGTATGCGTCTCTGTGTGTGGAGTAAAGGTGGTCTAGAGTTTTTTCCCCTCTGGTTGCACATTTAACATGCTGGTAGAAATGAGGTAGAACGGATTTAAGTTTCCCTGCATTAAAGTCCCCTGCTACTAGGAGCGCTGCATCTGGATGAGCGTTTTCCTGTTGATTAATGGCCTTGTACAACTCGTTCAGTGCAATCTTAATGCCAGCATTGGTTTGTGGTGGTAAATAGACAGCTATGAAAAGTATAGATGAAAACTCTCTTGGTAAATAGTGTGGTCTACAGCTTATCATAAGATACTCTACCTCAGGCCTATCACTTGCGAATGATAAATTATCACTTGTGAATGATGCCCAGCTTAAGGCAAGAACCAATGCACCATCTGTGGATCTGTTGGCGCGGTATGCAAATTGGAGTGGGTCTAGGGTTTCTGGGATAATGGTGTTGATGTGAGCCATGAACAGCCTTTCAAAGCACTTCATGGCTGCAGACGTGAGTGCTACGGGTCGGTTGTCATTTAGGCAGGTTATCTTAGTGTCCTTGGGCACAGGGACTATGGTGGTCTGCTTGAAACATGTTGGTATTACAGACTCAGTCAAGGACATGTTGAAAATGTCAGTGAAGACACTTGCCAGTTGGTCAGCACATGCTCGGAATACACGTCCTGGTAATCCGTCTGGCCCTGTGGCCTTGTGAATGTTGACCTGCTTAAAAGTCTTACTCGCATCGGCTACGGAGAGCGTGATCACATAGTCATCCGGAACAGCTGATGCTCTCATGCATGCTTCAGTGTTGCTTGCCTCGAAGCGAGCATAGAAGTGATTTAGCTCGTCTGTTAGGCTTGTGTCACTGGGCAGTTCGCGAGCCACATCCGACGAGCGTCAGAGCCGGTGTAGTACGATTCAATCTTAGTCCTGTATATACTCTTTGCCTGTTTGATGGTTCGTCGGAGGGCATAGCGGGATTTCTTATAAGCTTCCTGGTTAGAGTCTCGCTCCTTGAAAGCGGCGGCTCTACCCTTTAGCTCAGTGCAGATGTTGCCTGTAATCCATGGCTTCTGGTTGGGGTATGTACGTACGGTCACTGTGGGGACGACGTCATCGATGCACTTATTGATGAAGCCAGTGACTGATGTGGTGTACTCCTCAATGCTATCTGAAGAATCCCAGAACATATTCCAGTCTGTGCTAGCAAAACAGTCCTGTAGCTTAGCATCTGGGTCATCTGACCACTTTTTTATTAACCGAGTCACTGGTGCTTAGTTTTTGCTTATAAGCTGGAATCAGGAGGATAGGGTTATGGTCAGATTTGCCAAATGGAGGGCGAGGGAGAGCTTTGTATGCGTCTCTGTGTGTGGAGTAAAGGTGGTCTAGAGGTTTTTTCCTCTGGTACCTGTTTCTTTGTTAACCGCTCAACACAGAATAGCTGCATGTGTGCACTCCCTCAAATCGTTTGGAGAAATCTACTTTCTATTTTATTCAGCTTGGTTCAATTGTATTCTTCATACCATAAAATACTAAAAATTAATGCCACAGAATTCTAAGCGAATCTTGTCTGCTAAATGAGTGTAGCCCATAGCCATATGGCATAGCCAGATCAGGCCCTAACATAAGGACAACTCAGAGTATGCTATTCTGTTCTTCTGAAAAGACCACAATAAATCCATTTTTATGAAGAAAATGTAAAGGTGTAGGCTATATTAAATGGATTTATTAGACTTTTTTAAATGTAGATGTTTCAAAGGTCTGCATCAGTTGCTTGTAGGGTATGTGTGGAAGTCAGGAGATGCTAAATGTGTTTATGTTAATTAACGGTTAATTACCATGAGAGCGGCAGTTATTTGCTTGACAAGTGTATATGATAATTGTATGTGACTGGGTGTACGTGGTGTGTGTAGAGTCAGTATAAATGTATGTGCATATTATGTGTGAGTGGGAAAAAGATGAAGTGGGTGTTTCTGTGTGTGTGTCGGAGTGTCAGTGTGCATGAGTGCCTTAATTGATATCCTGCCGATGTTTGCATTTTGAATTGGAGCACACAACCATTGTCTCCCACTGTCTCCTGTTGTTCCACAGACGGTGAGGGAGAGGAGGAAGACTCAGGAGCACACCGTGGACGAGGAGCCTTCACCCCTCAGCAAATGCAGTCAAGTCGACCTGGAGACGGTGAGAGAAAAATACATTGAGAGAAAGTGAGCGGGAGAGAGAGAATCAGAAAAAAAACTGGAAGAAGAAAAGAGTAAGATAGAAAGAGCTAGAGCAGTGGTTCCCAACCTTTTTCGGTTACTGTACCACCAACTGAATTTTGCTCTGCCCGGAGTACCCCTGAAGTACCCCCTCATGTGCATTTTACCAGTAGGCCTATGGTCTCATGAGTCTTTTCAAGTACCCCCTTTGGATGGGCTAAGTACCCCCAGGGGTCCTAGTAGCCCTGGTTGGGAACCACTGATCTAGAGGATGCCCTCTGGACTTCCCTTTGATCAGGCTGAGCATCAAACCCAACAACTGCAGGCTGTCAGCTAGGCAGGAAGTGACAGGTGATCATATCAGGGAATGGTTCTGGGGTTTAACTACAAGTCAGAGTAGTGCTCAGATCCCAGAGCCGTACTGGGCCGTCATTGGCCCAACACTGTGACACTATGTTGCTGTTCTATAGGAGCAGGCAGTGTTGCAGGCAGTCAGGGTTGTGCAACATCAATGTGTCTGGTCCAAGGCCCTTGAGTTCAGAGTCCTGCTGCTCTGACTGTGGCCTGTGAGCTACAGTACACTCCTGCGTTGACACATAAAGGGAGAAGATGGAGAGAGAAAGAGAGAGCTGGGAAGGATAGAGAGGTGACCACGCTCAGTCATTCACCCAGCTTTGCTAAAAAAATGTGTGCCCAACTGTTTTCACAGCTAATTATTGAAGACAGTGTGGGAGCCGCTTCGAGGCATTCATAATCATAGCTTATGACCATCTCTAGTAGATATGTAGATATGTGGAAGGTTTATCAGTATTCAGTACAGATAGACAGGTTACTGTATGCAGGGAGAGGGTCCTCTGTTCTCACTAACAGAACAGGGGCAGGCCTTCTCAGGCCTTAGGAATGTTTTTGGATTAGCTAGTCGCTAGTGGATAGCAGCGAGTCACCTTTACTTTGCAACAGGGGTGGCCAGGGCCAGCTGTGTGTGTTGGTCATTGTGATGCGTTGAGTGATGGCATGATGCTTGTCACATACCTAATGCAGCGTCTCTTCTCTTGGCTCATTCAGCCCTACATACTTATACAGTGGAGGAATCTGTGGCATGAATACCATGATACTTTTGTCACTCATTGTTATCTTATTGAACTGTCGGTTTGCTTTTCAACACATACCTGACTGAAACCACATTCCTCACTTTTAACCTCCTACACCAAGACAATGGATGTCCTCAATGAATGGTTTGTTTACATTTTTGTTTCTCTAAATAGATCCAACCTTGTCTACTATAGTAAATAGATATTTCATAAAGTCTATATCCACCTGACCCACCCTATAATCAATTACAGTGCATAAGAGACCATGACTCTAAGGTCACATTAAAGGGTAAAGGAGACGTTTAGAAAAGGGTATGGACAGAGATATGATCAGCAGATCCTTCACAGAGATTGGATCACATGTTTATCAGGGAGTTGCACAACGCCTCTACTTCCTGGGTCTGAAGTGTGGTGTGGTGGAGACTCTTTCCTCTGGACATCTGTCTCAGTCTCTCTACCGCCACCTGCTGGACAGACCACCATCAGTCAGAAGGGCCAAGCCAACGTGATCTCACTGTCATAAAGTTATGACTGAAATAAGTTATCCAGTCCAATTTCCATTGGATTTCGATTCTACATGAAAAATATGTAGTTTGATGTAGTAATTCAAGCTTTTAGGCAGAAGTGGTGCTAATGGGGTTCTGACACATTATAATCACCTTGTATTGTATGATGCTGTATGTATGTATTGTACTGTTGTGTTGTGTGCTGTAAGGCTTAAGCTACTGTACTGTGTTGTAACCTAAGTTGTGGCTCCTCTGCTATTCCCGCAGGACCTGGTGGACTGGCGGAAGCCCCTGGCCTGGCAGGTGGGCCACCTGGGAGAGAAATATGACACCTGGGTGCACCAGCCAGTGGACCGGCCCATTCGCCTGTTCGGGAACGAGTTTCTAGAGGCCAGCACTAAAACATCCTGGTAAGAGAGATGAATGTACACTTCGGGACGGTTTTCCTGACAGATTAAGCCTAGTCCTGGACTAAAAGGCTATTTCAATGGAGACTCTCTATGAAGCATACTTTTAGTCCCAAACTAGGCTTAATCTCTGTCTGGGAAACCGGCCCATACAGTGTAGAAAAGCACTTACCCCAGAACGATAAGCTTGGGTTTAGATGATAAGTCATTTGATTGTCTGTGTGTAGGTACATGGTCCCTGCTGTGTGGATGCCACTGGTGTTCTATCTCTGCTGGTACTGCTACACTACCTTGGCACTGGAGACAACCAGACTGTTTGCCAGCACAGGTAACAAACACACAATCATGTCTGTCTGTCTGCCTATCCATCCAGCAAATTCATGCTTTTTCTCATGTATTGTCTAGTAGATATCTATATCGTGTATCTGTCCCACCACCTCCCTCTGCAGACTACTCCATCTTGGTGCACAAGTACAGCTTTCCCCTCATGTTCATAATGGGCATGGTCATGTGGACCTTCATCGAATATTGCATCCATCGCTTCGTCTTCCACATGCGCCCACCCGCCCACAACTATTACCTCATCACCATTCACTTCCTGCTGCACGGACAGCATCATAAGGTGATATACAGTCATACACAGAACAGAATGAAGGATACTCTGGAACTAATGTTAAAAATCACTGATGTCTTTTTGTAAACGGATAAGTACTTACATGTGTTTTATGCCTCTTTTGTTTATGATTCATTTGGAATTCAGAAACTTGGGAAACTGCAGAAGGATATAATTTTTGTTCCAAATCTAGGCCAAGCCATATGCTTGACTGACAAAACCAACGTTTTCAGTAACTAGTCAATGTCTATGTGCTCCTGAACTAACACCATGGTTAATCCTGCTGTTTCCTCCCTCCAGTCACCCTATGATGGCTCCCGCCTGGTCTTTCCTCCTGGCCTGGCCTCAGTGATGATAGGCAGCTTCTACCTGCTGCTGACCAAGGCCTTCCCCGAGACCCTGGGGGTGTCCCTGTTTGTGGGGGGGCTGTTTGGGTACGTGGTGTACGACATGATCCACTACTACCTTCACTACGGCTCCCCTCAGAGAAACTCCTACCTGTACAGCCTCAAGGCATATCACGTCAAGCACCACTTTGAACACCAAAGAGCAGGTAAGGAGGACCAGAATAGCTCTTTGTATCACCATACTTCTGTTGGCATAGTAACTTCTGATGGAGAGAATGAGGGACATAGAATGTAAAGTATATGACCTCAGACTCTTCATACGTCTCTGTAATTCCCTGTAGTGGTCCTCTGTAGCTCAATTGGTAGAGCATGGCGCTTGTAACGCCAGGGTAGTGGGTTCGATCCCCGGGACCACCCATACGTAAAAATGTATGCACACATGACTGTAAGTCGCTTTGGATAAAAGCGTCTGCTAAATGGCATATTATTATTATTATTATTAGTTCAGCTCTGTGTATGGTTCTTATATCTATTATACCTTATGACTCGGTCCTCTCAATGATGACATTCATTGGTTTCCCTCTGCAGGTTTTGGAATCAGCACCACATTGTGGGACCATCCGTTCAACACAGTGATCCCTGAACAGACCTTTTAGAAGACCCAACTTCATCTACTCTCCAAAGGGGGGCGACCTTCCCCATCCCTCTTACACCTGACAACTTACCCCTTCAATTACTCCATATACCCTGTGACCCCAGCATGTCCCTATAAACTACCACAAACCAGTCTGTCTGTCTGGTTCACTGCTTCGCTGCTACAGTGCTACTCTCCTCTCCAAACTAAACAAAACAAAACAAAACACACTTCTCCATAATGTTCCACCTGCTAGTCAAAGCAGGAAGATATCTTTTCAGAACTGGGGGAGGGAGGGTCGGGGATGGGGCACATGTTTATATTTCTTTATTGTTTATACATTTTGTTTATAATGGACAAAAGGATACAATTAAGATTGTATATGACTATGATGCAGTAAGGATTAACTTACATGCAGTCCCAGGTTCTAACGGTCAACATCCCACCAGCGACAGTAGAGAGAGACTGGAAAGTGAGAGAGGGAGTGTGAATGTGGAAGAGAGAGGAGAATGAGTGATGTTTATGAGGGTGAAAGGTGAAAGAGATTACACTTGTCCTTATAGAAGCTGTCCAAGTTTATACATTTACATTTAAGAAAACTCAGGAAAGTCCCTTCTCTATCCCTGGAGTGTTGATGCTGTAGAATGCTCTCCTCTATTCTAGAGGTCATGCGTTACTAATGCTCTAACCACAGAAAATCGCTTTTGACAGCATATGCTCACCGAATCCAATGATGGTTAGTCTGTAGTGTCTTGCTTAAACTGGGACATTTCCCATTCCATCTCTCTCATATACACTCTGGTTTGTTGTTGACATGTCAAATGAAGCTTCAGAATTAGTTGATGTTTTACTAGGTGGAGAGAGATGGAGTCGGATGTATACATCCTGATTTTGTGAGGATGGATGAATTGAAGGATGGCTGGATACGTGCTGTTATGGATACAGAGACAGAACACTGAGGGCATGAGGCCGGTCTATCAGGTCTCCTGCTGTAGGAAGCAGCACATGGCTAGTGTGACAGCTAAAGGATGGGGCCGATTAGATTAGGTCCTCACTATAGGTGCCCGTTATCCTCCCTGCATGTAGGATGACGATCTAGCGTCAGACTAAAGTGTAGGAGACCCTTGGTTCAGTTACGGGTCGATCCTCAGCTGTTCTGACTACTTGTTTTATATCCTAATGTTTCTATCCTTTGTACCATCTTCTGCATTCTGTGCTTTTGTTCATTCCCTAATTCCCTTCTTGATTTTCTTTAGTTTGAACCCTTGGGTGAAGCCACTACAGACGAGCCCAAATACTCCTACTGTTCCTCACGAAGCCCATGTGGTCTCAGACAGTGATTTGAACCATTAGTTAGGTCATGTTAGTGATAGTATATCACTACAGCTGCAGTAAGATAATATTCTGGGGGCCACAGTCTCCTATCACCTCCAAGGGGGCTTGATTGGGGTGATTTATAAGATGAGAGTAATTCTTCATTGCAAAAATATTATGTATAATCCAGCATGTACTTAACTGTATAAAAATTGCGGTGGGAGTGGTCTGTTTGGAACTCAGGTCAGGGGTCGGGGTTGGGTTGTGTTCACACTGTGTTCAGACAGAGAACGGTCAGCGGAGGCTCAGTAAAATACCCAGATTAGCATAAAGGACTCATATTACAGTACTGAGATGATGCATGTTCAAACCAATATTTGTACTCATGCTTATGATAATGATGATGACTTTTGTATGATGAACTTTTCACATGACTTGATAAAGAACCAACAATTGTTGTGAGGTTAATAATGATAATAATGATGAAAATAAGGATAATGTTGATGATGATGTCCCCTTCCTCCTCCCTGCCATGCCCCCTCCTCTTCCCTGCCCTCCCCTCAAGCTTCTGGCTGAGGAAGGTGCCACCTGTTGGGTTAAAGTAATACTACATATAAATATTTATAAACAACTTGTAAGCTATAATTCTGTCAAGTGAAACTATCTCTGCTAAATGATGCATTTAATGAATTTTCCAAATCTGTTTACCATAATATATATTTTAACTTTGTTTTTAAATGTCTATGCAAATGCAGATATATCTGTAAATAAATGCCTGTATCTTTCTGATGATCACTTGTCGTATTTTGTTTTTGAGCCGGCCCATTGTTGTCTTCTAAACCTACTATTATGTTAATTTTTTATAGTAGTGAACTGTAGATCATTCTGTTATTCTTTGCCTTAGTAATGGCTGCGAATGAAGGATTGATGTCATACATCATACTGTACATATCCTCTAGGATCTCCTGAGACACTGGTCTCAGAACAGAGGACCTTCCAGCTGTCATAAACAACAGAGAGCTAAGGTATGCCATCATCTGGCACATTGCCCCTCTGTAAGCAAGCTAGTAGTGGAAAGAATTTAGTGTAATCCATCAAGGAGTATACTTATTTAGTATAATCCAGAAGGAGCTTTGTCACAAACTCCACTAACAGTATGCAAAATGTATGCACTCACTAACTGTAAGTCGCTAAAGAGTGTCTGCTAAATGACTAAAATGTAAATGTAAATGTAACTCCAGAACATTTTAGCATTTATATTGAATAATTTCTATAAGCCTATGTTGAGTTCTCTTCTTTAAAAAGCTCAATTTACCACCAATGTAATGTAAAATATATATCTTTATAGTAATTAAATATGTATAGCTGTGCTGTATGTATGATGCCTGCTGTGTGTGAATAGTTCAGTAGTGTGGCAGCTGTGGTCTGTGAGAGCTCTGTGGTAGAGGTCTGCACGGGACTGATACCTTCATCCCACTACCGCCAGCTCCTACAGCTTTTCCTAACGCACCCGCTCACTCCCAATGTTTTTTTTTGTCTGACTCTCACCTGCTACCGAAAGAACTGGTACCGAACTCGACCGCAGTCCTACAAATATTATTTTAGGCGTAGGCTATGTGATGCGGCTCGCTTGGCAGCCATGGTCCCAGCAATTTTGGGCCTTATATAACAATGAGGACCACCCATACACAAAAATGTATGTACACATGACTGTAAGTCGCTTTGGATAAAAGCGTCTGCTAAATGGCATATTATTATTATTATTATTATAACTAAAATAACATAATAGGTTAAATTACCAGGGATTCTCACATTGCCCATTATTTTAGGCTATCGGTATTGTTTGAAATCACAGGAGGCTGCTGACGGGAGAATGGCTCATACACCTGGAAACCATGTGTTTGATGTATACTGAACAAAAATATAAATGCAACATGCAAAAATTTCACTGAGTTACATTTCATATAAGCAAATCAGTCAATTGAAATAAATAAATTAGGCCCTAATCAATGGATTTCACATGACTGGGCAGGGGTGCAGCCATGGGAGGCTGCCAATCAGAATGAGTTTTTCCCCACAAAAGGGCTTTATTAAAGACAGAAATACTCTTCAGTTTCATCAGCTGTCCGGGTGGCTGGTCTCAGACAATCCCACAGGTGAAGAAGCCGGATGTGGAGGTCCTGGGCTGGCATGGTTACACGTGGTCTGCGGTTGTGAGGCCGGATGGACGTACTGCCAAATTCTCTAAAATGACGTTGGAGGCAGCTTATGGTAGAGAAATGAACATTCACTTCTCTGGCAACAGCTCTGGTGGACATTCCTGCGTTCAGCATGTCAATTGCACGCTCCCTCAAAACTTGAGACATCGTGGCATTGTGTTGTGTGAGAAAACTGCACATTTTAGAGTGGCATTTATTGTCCCCAGCACAAGGTGCACCTGTCTAATGATCCTGTTTAATCAGCTTCTTGATATGCCACACCTGTCAGGTGGATGGATTATCTTGGCAAAGGAGAAATGCTCACTAACAGCGATTTAAACAAATTAGTGCACAACATTTGAGAGAAATACGTTTTTCGTTCGTGTGGAATCTTTTATTTCAGCTCATGAAACACGGGACCAACACCTTACATGTTGCGTTTATATTTTTGTTCAGTGTATTTGATACCATTCCACTCATTCTGCTCCAGTCATTAACACAAGCCTGTCCTCACCAATTAAGGTGCTACCAACATCCTCTGTTTGAAAGAGAGCCAGAGTTGTAGAGAGAGTGGACACTTGTACTTTCTCTTGAGTTACAGTGCATTTCAAAAGTATTCATACCTCTTAGATTTCTTTGCATTTAATTGTGTTACAAAGTTGGATCAACATGGATTTAATTGTATTTGTTGTCGACAATCTACAAAAAATACTCTGTGATGTCAAAGTGGAAGAACATTTTTATATACAGTACCAGTCAAAAGTTTGGACACACCTACTCATTCAACGGTTTTTCCTTATTTTTACTATTTTCTACATTGTAGAATAATAGTGAAGACATCAAAACTATGAAATAACACATATGGAATCATGTAGTAACCAAAAAAGTGTTAAACAAATCAAAACATATTTTTGAGATTCTTCAAAGTAGCCACCCTTTGCCTTGATGACAGCTTTGCACACTCTTGGCATTCTCTCAACCAGCTTCATGAGGTAGTCAGCTGGAATGCATTTCCATTAGCAGGTGTGCCTTGTTAAAAGTTAATTTCTTAATGTGTTTGAGCCAATCAGTTGTGTTGTGACAAGGTAGGGGTGGTACACAGAAGATTTTTTGGTAAAAAAACATATTATGGCAAGAACAGCTCAAATAAGCAAAGAGAAACGACAGTCCATCATTACTTTAAGACATGAAGGTCAGTCAATACGGAACATTTCAAGAACTTTGAAAGTTTCTTCAAGTGCAGTCACAAAAACCATCAAGCTCTACGATGAAACTGGCTCTCATGAGGACCGCCACAGTTACCTATGCTGCAGAGGATAAGTTCATTACAGTTACCAGCCTCAGAAATTGCAGCCCAAATAAATGCTTCACAGAGTTCAAGTCACAGACACATCTCAACATCAACTGTTCAGAAGGGACTGTGTAAATCAGGCCTTCATGGTCGAAATTGCTGCAAAGAAGCCACTACTAAAAGACACCAATAATAAGAAGAGACCTGCTTGGGCCAAGA